CGGGAGGGGAGCGGGGGTGGGCGTCGCGCTGGAGTTTAGGATTTGGACCGATCCCAGCGGGTAGCACCTTCGCATCGGTAATCGCTCCTCTCAGGAATGAAAATCTCTCGTTAAATTAAGAGGTGCTGGAGTTTGGACTGCTGCTCGGTGTGAATCCCCGCACGTTCGCTTATCATATGACTCTTCGTCATGCGCTGGCTTTTGTTTGCTGCTTGGTTTTGGGTTTTTTTGTTTTGTTAAAGGTGCACTTGGAAGCTTACAGACCAATTTTTATTCTTGTCGTTCCTTTTAAATACATAATTAATATATTTTATGGTTTTACTGGGAAACTTGGTGAACGAAAATGTGCTTAAATAGCAATCAGAAGAACTATGAATTGTTTGACCCATATATGGAGAGGCTGGAAAAAGCTGTTCCCTATTTCATTACAATCTGAAAAGCAATGCAGTGTCATGCTGAAATATTTTATATGCCTACGTAGTAGTACGTAGAATACCAATTTTGACCTCAGTTGAGCTGAAACATTGAAGCTTTGGTTTCTGAGCATACGTGTGTTGTTGCCATAATGGTTTAGCTGTAAATTCAGATTTTTTTTTTTTTTGTAGATAGAGTAGAAAGTGAAGGGAACACCTCACGTTAAATACGTTACAATGCTAATATAGAGAATAGGCAGTGTTCTCGATGAAACTTTCATCTAGAACAAAAATTATGTGCCTGACTATGTTTGGAAGCTCTGTATTTACTTCAAATTGGCTTGTTACTATAAGAGCTAACGACTTTGAAAACTTGTTCTGTGGTATTGAGCCCCTGGTTGTGCAGATACTTGCTTGTGAAACAGTTTGTTACTAAAATAAACACAGGCATAAGGGCTTTCAGGATCAGAGCCAAATTCAAATGGTGGAATAGCAGGGCTGGCAAATACTGCTGTCAATTGCAAAAATTGCAGTTGAAAGATGTACATGCAAGTGTACCATTTGTGTGAGATTGAGTGAACATTTACAGTCGGTGACCTCTGGCAGCGTGGTGGCTGATTCGGAGATGGAGAGAGGGTAGCTGCGAATGCGTGTGCTAGGCGGCGTGTCTCTGCAAGCAGCAGGGTTACCAGAGTGTGCTGGAGCTGCTCGATTAGTAGTGTTTCTGTGGTATGGTTTGTAATTGCAGATGGTTTGGTTTTGAGATAACCAGAAGGATTTTGAAAACAAAATTGAGTTTGCTTTGCACGTTTGCTGCTGATGGAACCAAAGGGCAGCCTGAGGCCGATGCCAGATGTGTCACTGGGTGTGTATTAGACACATTGTACTTCCGAGGAGCCTGCTGTCTGGGGAGCTGTAGGCTGTCTCGGCCAGCACGCAAGGGCCTGCATTTTGGCACTGAAGCAGGAAGTAGCAGGTATTTTTGTTTGTGGAAATACACCACTTGGGTGCTCTCTCTATTTATGTCACTGGAGCAGGAACCGCTCCTTGGGCTGTCCCTGAGGAAGTGGAGGGCTTTGAGGTAGTCATCACTGCTAGGAGAATGTCCGCCCAAGAACTTCCCTATCCAGAGTGACTTCTTGGAAATGTGGGCATAGCCCTCTGCCCACCCAGATGAGTTCCCCATCCATTTGGTTAGTTCTCACTTGCAATAGCAGCGAAATTGTGTAGAGGAACCTTTACAGTGGGGTGCTTGCACTTCCAGGCTGTGGGTGGGGGAAGAAATACGGCTCCAGCAAAATCATTGAACCTTTGCTAGAGGTTGGCATCCTCAGCCCTGCTTTCAGGTTTCCCTCATATTCTGTTAATCCATTGACTTGGGCCCCAGAGTAGTAAAGGTCTTCAGTGGAGGTGTGCACAGGCTTCAAAATAAGCATGGTTAATTTTGTTGACTCTTTGAACCCAGTTAATTCTTCAAGTCACAAAACAGTGTTCATATTGCAGTTCAGTTAAACAAGTAAAGCTTACTTTAAGAAAAGATCACCAAACGGTGAATCTTTCAGCAAATGAAATAGTGATGTTTCAGATCTCATCAAGGATCTCTTTTATCATTAATGTACGAACCTAAAATGAAGGTCCAAGGGAAGGTGTTCAAGTGATGTTTTTTTTCCTGTCTCCAGCAAACTTAGTTAGGCTTACAGAGCTGCTGCTTGAGTCCTCCCGAGAGGTGTCTGTGTTTTAATATCCATTATTGGTGTGTAAATAATTTTTTGCTGAGAATAGTGTTCAACATTATCATATTGCTATGCCCTGGAGCCTGCCAGGGCTGTGGCACTGCTGCTGAGGGGGCTGCTTGGACCTGCTCTGACAAGGGGCTCAAGGGCAAGTGGCTTTTTTAGTGCATAATTATATGTTTGGCCCTTGCTTTAAAGAAATTGTGTTAAGTTTTGAGAGCGGTCAATGGAATTTGGTTAAGTGTTGTGTGGAATTTTTGTTGTGTAATAAGATATTTCTTTATTTTTCTACTTTTATTATTTCTTCCTTTCACAATGGTGTGCTTCATTTTATTCCCCACAAATCAGGGGATGCTTCTGTCTTAATAATGGGATAAAGCTGGTAAGGAGAGTTCTTTCTGGAGGTTTTCTCACCTTTGTTTGTATATAAATCTAGAAGTGAATCCATGTAGGGCTTTTTTAGCCATTTAAGCAGTACCAAAAGCACTTCATTGATGTAAGCAGACTGGAGAAATACTATGTAGCAGCTTTTCAATCCAATTGTTCCTGAGCTTGGCATAAAAAAGCAGTCATTTCAGTGAAAGTATGCATGACCTTTCAACAGAGCTATCTCACTGCCATTTATCTAAATTGCATGGTGTGAAAAACACAGCCAAACAAGCCTGACCCTTTATTAATTATGTGCACATTCTGCTTTGACAGACTGAAATCTAATTTTATGATAACACCAACTTACCTTTCGTCCTTTGGGATGAGTTCTAGCATAGATGTCATATGACAGCATGTATGTTCATCTGTCAAAATTAAAATGATGTTCTAAACACTTGTCTTTCCCTCTCTTTTTGCCTTTCTTTCTGTGAACAGATTTAATAGAAAATGTTTACATAGCTTCGAGAAGCAGGAAGGAGCCCAGGTCCCCCCAGGCCAGCGAGGTCCCCGAGCACAGGCTGCAGATGAACAGCATTACGGTTTCCAAGAAACGCAGCTGGCTGCAGCAGAGCACAAACCGACCTCCTCCAGAGGAAAACTCCTGCAAGGAAGCACGCGGGACTGTTACCCCGGTACCCAAATCTCCCATCCCGCTGCCCGAACCCGAGGTGCCGTGGGCTCCTTCCACGTCTCCGGTGGGGCGGCAGCGCCTCGCAGGCAGCTGCGCTCCTGTCGGTGCTCCTGCCACGCCAAGCAGTGCTGCTTTGGACTTCGGCGAGGATGATGATGCAGATGATGAAGGAGAAATATGGTACAACCCGATCCCTGAAGATGACGAGCCCAGCTTGCCCAGAGTCTGCACTTCTGCTGTCAGTAGCCCTGTTGCTGCGGGCTCCCTGGCAGTTCGGTACAAATCCTCAACTGGGGATGACTCTGGGATGGCCCCAGGTCCCCACGAGGGTCCCCCGTGCTCCATGGAGAGCGTGGGGAACAGTCGGATGGCTCAGGCCAGCGAAGCAAGTCAGGCTGATGCCACGCACCCTGGGGAGCACGTGCAGCAGCACCGGCAGAGGTTTGCCTGCAAGGCTCCCAATGTGCCGGCACCTGAGGACAATCCTGCCTTTAAGTGCCCTTCAACAGGTAAGCGGGTTCAGGAACATAAAAGCATTATGTCCTCTATTTTCTGTTAGAGGAATAATAAACCCTTCTTATGTATCTTTTTTTTTTTTCCTTTCTCCTTCTTTTATCTTTATCACGCAAATATCTGGTGGAAATGCATGTCAAGTTCATAAAAAAGGACTCAGATTGTGGGACTGATACCTACTCAGTGTTGAGCTGCACAGTTGGTTCTCAGTCAGTTTATTCATGGCATGTCTAGGTGTGGTTGTCCTCTCTGCTCTTCAGCCCCCACCTCACTGAAGACAAAGGTTTTACAAAGCAAGCTTGCTAAAGCCTGGTAATGTGAGGACACACTGGCTTTCCTTTGTTAGTGTCTAACCCTGGCCTTGGATTCCAGCCTCAAAGCTACTTAATGTCTGCAGAAGTTTCTTTAACTTGCTGTTTGGTACTTTTTAATGAAGACTTCTTGGAAGACTATATAAATGCCATTCATCCTGCTGCTTTCTGTAATTGCTGTCTTGTTGACTGTCTCAGGCTAATCTAATAGACTGGAGGGGGGTGGTTTTCACTTTCAGACTCTTTGTTCCTTGTTATCTTTGGCTGAGTGTTTGATAGTCTCATTTCCATAATTCCATTAGTGTGTGAATTCAGCATCATATTAAAGGTTTTTCATAGTCTGCTAGAAAAAAAAAAACCCAAACACAATCCCCACAAAACTAAAACCACACCAAACAAAAGAAAGCAGAGAAAAAAGCCCAACCCATTCCAAAAGGTTATTATTTTTAATTACTTATGTGCCTTATATTATCTGACCTTAACAATGGTAACCCACTGAGAGTTAGCAACAGCGTAAAGTTCAGGAGACAGGAATTCCAGGTACCACTCTTTGGACAAAGTTCACACTGAAGAGCCTGTATTTCTGCCTGGTTTAGCAGAGAGGACCTGAAACACTAGCATCAGAGCCCACATGTGCATTTCCTTCTGGAGGGGCTTCCCATCTGGGTTGGCCCCATCCATCCTCTCCATCCCGGCAGGCTTCTGTCCCTGCGTGCCGGGATCTGCTGTGTCCAAATTCCCAGTGCAGAGGTTGCTTGTGGGAATGGAGCTTGTTTTCAAAGGCACCAGAGCAACTGCTGTAAACAGAAGAAAAAACCCACTCGTTCTTCTCTTCTGGGAAACTCACATTTTGTTCTTTTGGTGAAAATGCTGCAGATAGAAGTGTATTTTTAGTTGCAAAGTCTGTTAAAGTTATGGGGCGTTTTTTTAGAAATAGCTCACTTTATAGCTGCATTGAATACTTGGACTGGTTATATTTGCTTGCAAGATAGATGAAGTACTTTGTTCTTAGGTTTTTGTCATCGTTGGAGCTCTAGGTGCTTTGGAGAGATCAGTAAACATGGCCATTTGTGTGCCCTGCAAACTGTTTGACTCTCCATTTAGTTTGAGTCCCATTTGGTTAATCTCAATACGTAGGTGAATAGTTCTTTTTTAAAAAAAATAAATCCCTTTTTTAGGAAGAAAAAAAAGTCAAAATTTATTTCTGAAAGGAAAATTGCCCATTTGAAGTGTCTTGTGAAACCAGGAGAAAAATGTTGTGAATTTCCCCTGATTGGTTTCCTATGCATTGCATTAATTAAGGTGCTTTAAATGCAGCTCTCCTTTTGCTCGTATTGAATAGTGATCACATTGAATAGATTAATTGATCATGAAGTGGATCCCTGCTGCTCAGTAATTGGCTTTATTATGGAGAAGTGGCTTAGTTCTTTTAAATCCAGTTAAGATATCTACAGTTATTTGTAGCCAAATTTAAAATGACAGCTCATCCATACAAAATTACTGCATGAAGAGCAGCATGGCCAATTTATTTGCATTAAGACCTTGTTTGAATTTCACAACTGCTATGCAATAAATGTCTATATTCTTAGAGAGCTGGGTGCATTAAGCAATAAGTCCTGACAAATAGGCAATTACTGCTTTGGGGAAAAATCTGTTTACCTTTCTTACTGATATGATTTTATATATGTCAATCTTGGTTAGCATTAGAATCTAAAGTATTAGATTTTGAGAGGCATAGACAGAAAAAAATTGAGGCACTATAAAAGCCAATAAAATATGTAGCTGTTTGTTTTGTCATTTACTCTTTTCTTCTTTGGGTAATAGAATCAATTTTACCGTTGAAACTTTAAACATTGCTGCCTTATTTGGATTGTCAACTTCATAGAGTAAAAATGGTTATGGATTTTTTTTTTTGAGAGTATTAAGACACAAGATTAAGAAATGATAAATTATACAATTCAGTTATTGGGAGTCTTTCCAAACACAGCAGCAAATAGATATAAAATAAATATTACTGTAAATATTACCAGTAAAATGGATTGTAGTTGTAGAAGTGCTAATTTGCCCCATAGACTTAATTTACACCATTAGTTCCTGGTGTTAATCTGGTTAGTTTCTACAGTAAATGCCATTTATGTTAATAGGATTTGTCAGGTAATTCCTTAGCAAGTAGTTCTAGCCATGCTGCCTTTTAAAAAGAAACTGATTAAAAATAAGGCACCCTTATAGCAGAACTTGGTCAAATAATTAATGTATTTTGTTTATAAAAAGTACACAAAGGGGTAAGAAGATAACTTAGTTTTGAGTTAACTTGGTCTGAGTTAGAAACATAATACTAGCTTATGCTCTTAAATCTGTGCAAGAAGAGTTTAAGTGGAAAGGACCCTGGAGAATGACTTTAATTTGATGTCTCCTTGGACAGGTGAACTGGTTATGACTGAAAAAAAAGAATATTTTTTGTTATACATGCAATATGAAAAACCCTTTATATAATTTACTTTAACATTTTGTATGTGCAAAAATCTTTCTTTACAACTGTTTAGGACTGAAGTCTAATTGTATGTTTTTATAGATGTATCACCTGCAAAAGATACCCCTTTATAATGTTGACTCCTGCAATAGGTTTACATCTTGGAGCTCTGAATAGTGCCATCTGAAGAATTTGCAATATCTTTGCTTTTGGGGAGGATTACTGTTGGGATTAGTGTCCACTGAATCAGTGGCATCATCTCATGTGTTTGTATCTCAGAGACATCCTGGTAGGACTTGTGTGCTGTAGGTTGCCAGGATATGGATGGTGCTTTTACTGCTGAAAATGCACTGTGTGTTAGCTGTCTGAATGGAAAATCCTGGTAGGAATCACTGTAAACAGATTTATTTCAGTGTTGTAGGAAGTGGAGGCTGATACTATATTCACAGTTAACCCAGTATATGCCAACTGGAGCTTGGCTTAGATCACATTAAAAGTACAGTGCTTTTTATCCACTTACACTGTGACCACTCTCTTGGTTTCTAAGTACGTCTTTTGTGGCCAATGCAGGCAAATATTTTGTGTGCTTAAATGTTGCAGCTGAGCTTCCAGCAATATACACAGAATATATTGGGCAGCAGATCCCATATAATCCTTTCATACATTGCAATATGATTCGCTTAATTTTAATTTTTTTTTTTCCTGATGGAAGATGATTTGTGATTTAATTATTTTCCAAGTGCAAGGAGCTTTGGCTTCATGAGGCAGAAAAGCATTCATGTGAAACATTTGCATAATGCTTGAGATGCCAGAATATTTTGGTGCGTGGCAGAAGGGACCACTGTGATGAAGAGCAGGCAGTGGTGAGACCCTGCACCTCTCTGCATTCATGAGTCTTGGGGGGTTATGCTGTAATCATTTCCCTTTTTAATTAATGGGCTATTTCAAGCCATTTATTTTTTATATCTTTTATGCTCATGAAAGTGATCTGTGGCTTGATGGGTTTATCACAGCTTAAGTAAAGTCAGTGTACATAGTATTTGAAAAAAACAAACTACATTTACAGAGTTCTTAGAGATTTTTTTAACCTTTTTAATAATTCCTCCATTCGTTGACTCCGAAACATTATGTGGAATAGAACTTGGAGACTGCATTAATCAAAGCAGAAATTTTTATAGGACTAAAAAGGACTTTCTCTTTTTTATTGGTTAAAAGAGGAAATTATTCCATTTATTTAGATAACTGAGGTATTACATAGACATAATTCCATTCTATCACATTTTTTAAAAGTTCCGTTTAGTTTTTTTAAAATTTGGTTTTTTTCCTCCCAGTTGCTGCTGTGGATAGAGATGTGACTTCCCTGTATCTTACTGAAGTTGCTTGAATTTGATGTAGTGTGAATTCTTCTTTTAAAGCTATTTACAGTTCTACTCTGAAGTTTTATATTGGAATAGGTCTGGAACTATCTGAGGATGAAAGTACATAATTGGCTTGCACATGAGTAAGTTAACAGCCCTTGACATTAGTAGAATTCTGCTTTTTGTGTCAATTGAGGATCTAGGCCAGTATTTCTTGTGGAAAGCATCACAGAAAAACATAAGCCCTTGTTCACTCACCCATTGTTTGCTACACAAACTATTTTTGGATATTTGGGCATCTATGTTTTGAACTTCTGCTTTTTCATTTTTAATACATTTTCCCAATAAGTCCTTGGGTTGACTGTAGAAATAATAATGAAAAAAGATTGAAAAATGTAGACAGAAGGGACACTGATATTGAAGGTTATAGCCACTCAGTGTAAGCTGTATTTTTTTTTTTCCCCCCTCTCTTTTTGAAATGAAACTGCTTAGCTCTTCAACAATAATGCCACTCTTCTAGAGATACTTTCAGTATTAGATGTAGTATACTTAAGTATGCCTGGAGAATGGTAGGAGAAATTACCTATCAGGTCTTGTTTGGTGGGAACTCAGAATTTCCTGGAGAATGAGAGTGGCCATTTGATACTTCAGTAGCTTGCTGTGATGAGGAACTGGTAGTTTTCTGATTTACTCATTCACCTCAACTTTTTGACCCCAAAACAAATTACCAGTTTTCCGAGGAACTTTAAAATAACTCAGAAAACCTACCTGAAGTGATGGGGAATGTTACAGGTACAGCAGGGTAATCAGATGTGCCTGTAAAATGGCACGTGCTGCTGGCAGTGGGTCTGGCTGCGCCCAAGCACATGTGAACAGTGCTAAGCAGGGTGGGACGAGCATTTCTGCTGAGCTGCGTCACTGTGTACATCTGGCAGGGGCTCTCTTGTAAGTGCCTGAGATACTTGGAGTCCTCTCTTCCCTTGGGGCAGCCCTGTGTAGGGGTATGGTCTGTCAGTGCCAGCGTGCTTGGCTGAGGGGCAGTAGGGATTGCCCCGTGGACATCTTGCTGTATGGGGTGGGAGAAGAGGGTCTGAGTTTGTGGAGCACTGTGTGCTGTTAGTGTCTCTCCAGCTCTGTGTGTCTGGTCACAAAAAGGCTTTATCCTTTCACGCAGCCATATCACCGATTAAAGGAAAAGGTGGCCTTACTAGTGAAGCTGAACAAAGAGCTGATGGAAGCAGTCGCTTATGATGCCAAGTCACTTTGACTCAGATTGTGTTGTCCTTCAGAACCTATTTTTTCCTGTATTACTCATATTGCTAAAACTTCTGGAAAGCATAAGGTAAATGTAGTCAGGACAGTATGTGCTAGAGTAGCCCAGGTTGGAAAGGACCTCAGATCATCTGGCCCTCCCTTTCGTGGGAAAGGTTACCTAGTAAGATTACCTAGTACCCTTTTCAGTGACACCTCGAAAACCTCCAGTGATGGGGACTCTACCATGACCCTGAGGATGTTGCTCCAGTGATTGAGTATTCTTACTGTAAAAAATAAATTGTATATATATATATATGCACACACCCATGTTGCCCTGGTAGTTGTTTGTGTGACAGGTGCCTATTGCGTTTCATCTCCTCCTACCATCCTTCCACAAGGATATTTTCATCTTTTAACTGCTGAGATGGAGTGTACAGTGGCAGAGCAAGTGGGGACTGGGACAGTGAGAACCCTGTTTGGAGCACAGCCTCTAACTTGGTAAAAAGAGCGAGGCCAGCTCAGTTCCTCTGGCACCCTTGTGAGAAAGCTGTCTCAGATGGTTAGGCTGGGAAGTGAAGTGTTACTGGACCGTGCTACAGCTCATTTTGCAGCTCGTTCAGAGCTGTGTCATGTACACTCTTTAAAATTGCATGCATGCCTCAGCACATTGCTGGCTTTAGTGAACAACACGTGGCTCAGTGCTGATGGGAATAACCACCCTACATAATACTCCACTGTTAAGTTTCTTTTCCAGCCACATATTTCACTTTAACTGTTTGGTGCTGAACACGGCACAGGTTGGACACATAAAAGTCAGAGTGTTAGATTGACTCTTCAGTTTTAATGGCCTAGGGGGGAAGTTTAATTTGCTGGCCTGCTTTTCCGAGCCTGTGCCAGAGGCGTTTGACAGAAAGGGAAGATGAATGTTAGCGGGCTGCAGTATGGCACCGATTGCTGTAGAGCATGCCAGGCCAGCCCACCAGTGGGACCGTGCTCTGATCTGCAGGACAAGGGAAGGCTTTGTCCGCTTTTATCAAACACCACATTTCTAACTAGCTGCTTGCCAGAAAAGCACAGCAGGCGTGCTAGAAATAGCCCTTCCATTGCGAGGGAGCTGCTTCCATGGGATGCAGGGCTAAATGAATTTTCCTCTGTCACTCCAGAAAACAGGTTCTGTATGTTATTCTTCATAACTGAAAATTTCTTTTATAATGATACCCTTTTAAGCAACTATCTGCAAGAGTTATTAAAGCCAAACTTCTCTTGGGACTCCAACTAGGCTTTGTAGGGTTTTTTTTTTGGGTGGGAAAACCAAAACTGCAACAAATCACTTTGATCAAAGACCAGATCTCCTGATTTAACTGTTTAAGATAAGTGAAGTATAAAAAGTAAGTTATAGTTAAATGGTGAAAATTCATTTAAAGCTTAAAAAACTTTCACTAGCTATATGGTGATTCGGACTTGGAGCGATTAGAATTAAAGTAGTGAGCCTTTGAGAAATCTTAAGAGAAACCTCTGTAGAATATGATTTGTTGAGTATCTTGTGAAAACCATGCTTCTTTCTTTCTAGATGCCGTGAATAGACTCTTCTTTCCCCTGGCTAGCAGGGGAGGATGACAGATATAGGTGTTTGAATCTCTGTGAGCTGCTTGGGCTAATTGCACCACACAGGGTTAGCATGCCTTGGGGCTCCACAGTACCCTAGCCTGCACAGGCATGGCTACATGAGTCCTGTTGGGAGCTCCTAGAATTTGCTAAGTGATGAGTGAATGGGGTAGTTATTGTTAGCTGGAATTGCTGTTGGTTTCTCAAGGGATAAAAAAGTGACTTTAAGTGAAAGTACTTGAGTAATTTTATTAATATGTGTCTTTGTGGCCTGAGCTCCCCTCTTACATGCTTCATTAACTTATGCAAATTCATTACCTTTCATACAGTCATTACTGCCTCATGCTGGTGAAAGTGAGAAAAACTTGAACTATAACTTGTTATTTGGGTTCCTCGGGCATTGGGCATGAGGTGAACTGCGGGTTCCTGTCTGTGCAGTACTGTCTTATGTCTGATCGTGTTCCTTCATTAGCTGTCTTTTACTGCTAAATTGAGGGAGTCTTTAATTTTAATTTTCTTTCTTTAGCTTCAGTGTCTGCTGATTTTTGTTTTGGAATTTTTTTTTTTTTTTTTTTTTTTTTTTTTTGGGTGGGGAGGTTCTTTTGGTGCCTTGAAAGGTGGGCGATTTCCCACAAGGACGTCAGTTTGGAATCATATAACTTTAAGCCCTGTCATGGAATGGTTGTGCCAGGAAAGGTGGAAAGTTGCTGTCAGGAATGAGGCAGTACAGAATGCAGCTTTTGGAAGGAATAAATTCTTAATATTCCTTCTCATCTGTCCTGTGGCAGAAAGGAGGACCTGAGAGAAATGATGGAAGAGGTGCAAGACGCTGCCCACATCTATACAGGAGGGATTTAGGGCTCTTTGGAGTGATAGAGGGATATGCACAAGAGTACAGCAGTATTCCTTACTAAACATGAGTGCCTTTCTTCTAGACCTAAGACAGTGCTAACTGCTTCATAGGCAGGGCTGCATTTTCCATATTCTAGTGTTCTCTGATTTAAGACTGGTTTTGCTCCACCTGTGCCCAGGCGTACAGCCACATCTGCTCGCGTGGGGGATGCAGCACAAATGGATTGAGCTGAGTGCAGTGGGTGAGATAGCTAATTTGTTTACATGTATAGGTTCTGGCCATTTCATCTGCATAAAGCAGAACAAATCTGGCTTTTGACTATGAACTGCCAAATTTGGCTGAACAAGTCAGGAGAGCACAGCCTTCTGAATACTCGAGAACCTCTGACTTATGAATGAATGAATGATAGTTGTCTGAATTAATTGCGTTTATCAAGTTATGACAGATCAACACTATTTCCCCTAGTTCAGGATTTGTTTTTTCATTGCTGTGAGCTGCAGTTACTGAGAGGTTTGAACATGATTATTCCTTTTCTTTTCTTCTAAAGGGTCTGGAGCTGCACTTGCACACAAGGCTGATACGCCTTCAACAGAGGTTTCTCCTCCAAGTCCCAGTCCTCTGAAAAAAAGTGGATCAATCAACTGGCCTTTCCCTGATAGAATTAAATCTCCCAGGACTGTGAGGAAGCTTTCCATGAAAATGAAAAAGCTGCCAGAGCTGAGCAGGAAGCTGAGCGTCAAGGGGGCTTCAAGCCATACTAGTTCAGATAATCCTTCTTCCCTGCCGAAAGGTAGCTACCGGGATACAGGCCATACGGTGTCTTTACCATCTTCTGGAAACTCAACCACAGCTGCCAGCAGGAATGTCATAAGTCGTTACCATCTCGACAGCAGTGTGTCATCCCAACACACCTACAAAAAGAAAAGCTCCAGGAGTTCCAAATCCTTTAGCAAAGGTGGTTACCTCAGTGATGGTGACTCTCCTGAACTTATGACAAAATCAGCTAAACACGGACATGAAACCAAGTGTGGGAAAGGAAAGGAGAGCCTTTTAAATAACAGTGGTAAAACTGAAATAGATATCGATGCCTTCAGACACTACAACTTTTCTGATCAACCCAAGTGCTCTCAGTACATCTCTGGACTCATGAGCATTCACTTTTATGGTGCTGAAGACTTAAAACCACCAAGAATAGACTCAAAAGATGTCTTTTGTGCAATACAGGTTGACTCAGTAAACAAAGCAAGAACAGCCTTGCTTACCTGCAGGACAGCGTTTCTAGATATGGACCACACATTCAACATAGAAATTGAAAACGCTCAGCACTTAAAGCTGGTGGTGTTCAGCTGGGAACCCACGCCCCGGAAGAATCGGGTGTGTTGTCATGGGACCGTGGCTCTTCCCACTCTTTTCCGAGTGACAAAGACTCATCAGCTGGCTGTCAGACTGGAACCTAGGGGGCTTATTTACGTCAAGCTCTCACTCATGGAGCAGTGGGAGAACTCTCTTGATGGCCTCAATGCAGATCGGGAGCCTGTGATGTTTGGGGTGGAGGCTCGAAAAGTTGTAGAGAAGGAAAATGCAGGCTTGATGGTGCCACTTCTGATGCAGAAATGTATTCTGGAGATTGAAAAGAGAGGCTGTCAGGTACTGTGCATATTTGAATCAGTTTTATTATTATTTCTGATTTGGGATAGCTGTTGTTACACAGTGTGAGTGGGAAGGGGGAAATTAAAAACATCTTTACGTGTCAAATTTTTTTTGTTTTGCTGCTCCTGTTTGGTGAACACTAGTCATTGTTATTCTTCCAGCATTACAGGACTTTGTGAAATCAGTGCTTCCAATGTCGCCTTTGTAGAGGAGATGCTCATAGTTGTGCTTTAGGACTAGGGATAGTGAAATGAACCTGCAGCTTCCAGCATGTAGTGTTGCTCTTCAAAAAGCAGAGCTGAGAACTTGAAAATGCTTGATTGCTGAGACGTGGATAACTCCTTAAGGATGTGTATTTAAATGCAAAAATGAGTATAACGTTCCCTCCTACCCAAAACCGAGACACTGTGTGCAGTGACACGCAGTGATGAGGACAAGTCTTTTGACGCAACTTTACTTACCTATGGGCAATCTCAAGCCAAAGACTGATCTGTGCCATCACTTTGTGCACAGCATTAAGATGAGGAGGAAACCCTGAGTAGCTGAGTTAGTTGTTTGCCCACACCACTGCTCCCTGCCTTTCTTTAGGTTATTTGCAAAATTAGGGCAGGAGATGAATTCTGTAAAGCAGTAGTGCCCTCTTCAACCTAATAAAGTTTATTGGTTGATGGAACCGAATGGATAAAAATACATATGAGAAACGAGATATGGAGACAAACGGCCAGGTATGGGTGCTGGACAAGAAGTCTTAGGACTATGCACAGTCCTAAGGTGGGACATTCCCTTTAGCAATTGATTTGGAACTGGTGGGAGGACTCTTGTATGGTGTTCCACAGCAGGTGTGAGCCCTCAGTTTCCTTTACACCTGTCCTTGGTGAAATTGAGCAGTCATCACACCTACCACTGTTACTGTTTGAAATTGCTGACAGGTTGGATTTAGTTCCAGGTGTTAGGAGATTAACTCTGCTATTTATAGTGTAGGTCATAAAATATATAGAGAAGTGGTACTTACATGTAATTACTTTGCTGAAAGACACTCTTGATAGTAGCTGTATAACTCTTATTGTGAATGCTTCTCCTAACATTATGCCAATCAGTGGAAAAGAGAGGTTTTATTCTTTCCAGTGTATGTGTTCTGTGGTTTCAGCATTTTATTTTGGGCTTACTAGCACCTAGTCATGCAAATGATATTGGTTAATCAAGGCAACACTGGTAATGAAGCGATTGGGATCTGAATTGTCTGAATGTACCTGGTGCTTTTAAGCATGAAATCTAATTTGTATATTTGCACAGGGAGAACCAGAAGTGCAAAATATACTGTTAATAACTTCTTTTAGCAGTGCTTGTCAAACACTTTTGACTTTCCTATAGACTGTGTTATCTCCACCAGAATTTCAGATGTGGCATTAGAAAACTTTAAGATAAATTGTCTTAGGCAAGTACTAGATCATATTCAGTTTTGTGACTGAGGGAGTAGAAATTCCACTGGGTGACTTTCCCTTTATTTAAACAGGATTTACTATATGGCCAGGCAGATACTCTTGTTCACAAATGTAGATTTGCATGGTCTAAGAAGTCGGCTTGGGGGATTTTTTTGTCTTCTGAGTCTATGGTAGGTTTGGACTAACCATTTACTGCTTAGTGCAGCTTCCTACGAAGTTCATGAAAATAAAATTAATATGATTAATTCCTTAAGATCATAGGATTGCTTTGTATAAATGCTGTTGATGCAAACAGAAAGTAAATAATGATAAAATGCATAATTTGAGTGCACGAAAGCATGAGATTTAACTAGTTATTTGGTTCAAGAGTGGTATGGGTTTCATTCCTATCCCCTTGAGCACGTTAACCTGTTTTTCATAAAATTTTCATATAATTTGAAATACATGGAAGTCAGCTTCTTGTCTTTAAAACAGTATATTGTATGTGTAGTAATGGAGTACTTATAATTTTCTTGAAACTGTTTACTGGTGTAAAATGAAATTTCAATTTTTCTTCCTATATAACAGTGTTGTAGGAATTTTTTTTTTTTTAACTATGGTTCATAGCATTTCTTATTTTTTTTATAGGTAATGGTATAACTGTTTTTTTTTTCTGCTAATGATTAATAACTGCATTTCTCTATACTGTAATTCTGTATACATAAAGCTCAAAATGCTTTTTCTCATTTCTTTCTACTGGAGTTCCAGTTCTATCTTGTACAATTAAACCATTATACTAGGAAAAACTAATGGTGATCTAAATGGGTAGGGTAAGAAAAGAATAGATGTTTCATTTGTAGTTCTTTGTTTCCTGAGTCTGTAAAAGCAAAGCACTAAATGATTCCAGTTTAAAACTCATGTTCTGTCAATAAAATACTGTTCAGCATGTTTGCTGTTATGGAAAACATCAGCATTATTCACTTGCCACTTAACAGTCCCAGCTGTGTCTCCGGTGAAATGCTTGATACCATACATGACCATTTCATGTTAATGCTTTGCACTGAGTTTCCTTCACATGCATCTCCAAACAGCTGGTTTTGTTGCACTTCCCAGATGAGACAACACATAATATCAATGTCCAAATGACCGATGTGGGGCATTGTTTTTGCTTCTAGGTGGTGGGCCTGTATCGGTTGTGTGGCTCAGCAGCAGTTAAGAAAGAGCTTCGAGAGGCATTTGAGAGGGACAGCAAGGCTGTTACACTCTGTGAAAGCCAGTACCCAGATATTAATGTCATAACAGGTAATAAATACATTCACTTGCTTTTCTTTCAGTGTGGTTGTGCTGCATTCCTAACGTATCTTATAAAAGGTGAAATGGGCTCTGAACTACTTGTTCGTTTAACGAGCTGTCAGCTGCTGCTTCGTATTGCTGAAGCTAGGTAAGAAAGAGTGCAGTGAACTTGGCCATGTGTAAAGAGGAAGCAGTAGTGATTTGGTGAGAGGAGGGTATGGAAGGAGCCACTTTTGGTAGCTGCTCTACCAGTTACAGAGGGAAGTGGAAGTCTTTTGAAAGGAGCCGAGGTCCCGGGAGCTGGTTAAGCCTCTGCTGTTGGTTTGTATTGGAGCAGATCTTGGAAAACATGGTTGTGATCAGGCACATCTGCTGAGCTGGTTGCTTTACAACATGTGCTCCAAGGGCCATCTTGGATCGACCTGTTTCTTCCCTTTATGTTGGAGATTGCAGGATTTTTAGAAACACATTTCCCTTCATCTTGTGCAGGCTATTTAGAGCTGCAGGAAAGTGCCTTCATTTGGTCATGGCTTGTTTTAAAACATAAATAGCAGCTTTCTCCTGCTCACTCAAGTGGCCCTTTACTGGCTATCCTGAAGCAAGCTCCTGGCAAAGGTGAGAAGGACTTTGAGTACAGGAACAGGAGGACTTAGGAAGCCTGTCTGCACTTTCATCAGTTCTCCATGTGAGTGTCTTCACAGAATTTGCACTGCACAACTGAAGTAAGTTGCTGAGGTGTTTTAGATTTGCTTAAAAGTGGAACAGTTTTATAACTATGGATATTTGTTACATAAGCCAAAGTTGATCTAATTTCGGGCATCACTGCGTAAACCAATTGCTCCAGGAAATTTGTTAGAAGCATTCATTTGCTATATATCTAGGGATGGAAAATGTAAACACCGTAGTCAACGGTATAAATTTTCTGTGCTAAAGTCCTTTCTGTGACATCCAACATTCAGTTGTATGGGACAGTTCTACCCAGTTTGGTTTATTTCATTTCAGTGACAATGAATTTTTATTCTTTACACTTTGTAATTATACAAAGTAGAATCGGAAGATATTCCTTGGTGATATTTACAGGGTTAACTAAACCTTTCGGTTTAGAATGTGCAGCTAGTTGGTTCATCTTACTTGCCTTTGCTGGTTTCATGGTACCGTTCAGTGTTGCTCACAAGTATAGGAGTTCTCAGCAGCAGAAATTTGTTTGTTTCATTCTGATGGGATTTGCCCTTTATAAAGAGAAGGTGTACAGTAAAAGTAAATAATACCAAAAATTTTTTAACTGGGTCATTTTCTTCTCTTTACAAATAAATGAATGAGAAAAAGTGGTGATAACTTCTAAGATGAGATTGTTCCATGAAATTATTTAAGGTCTTGTTTTCTTCCTGATACTTGTAAATCAACTCAGAATGGGGGGAAAAAACTCATTCTGTTACTTTTTGTCAAGCAGCAGAAACTGTCTGATACTGACTTGTAAGCAGAAAAGTGGCAAACTGCTATTTGCTTAAGGTAAAATTTTGAATAATGGAAGACAAATTTTAAAAACATTGGAGTAATAAAACTGGCATTGCATTCCCAAACTAGAAGTAATAATTACAGTAAAACAGTATTTGCAGAAATGAGCCAGGAGTATCGTGGGAAAGGGTGTAGTAACTTAATTCTTATCCATATACAAAAGAACGTGTAATATTTCATAAGCATTTTAATTTTTCCTGAGTACATTATACACTTGGAACTGACCGGAACTGGCTGAAACTGAAGTTTGAATTGCAGGTGAGCTCAGTGCTGATGCAGAGCTCTTGAAGGGCCAGTCGCACAGCCTGGCTGATCTTTCCATCATGAGTTTATGATGCAAGCCTCATTGGTGATGGTGAACTTTCGGTGAATATGCAGGTCTTGCTTGACTCTTGGTCCTTTTTTGGTTGTATTACAGAAGGATAATTTTTTTTGCATCCAGAATTTGTATTCCAAGAGTGAAGAGACTAGAGCCTTGGTGTCTGTCTTATGGAAAGACTATTGGGTTTGCTTTTGTTTGTTATATTGCATGTTTACTTACATGCAGAAATAATGTTAAGAAAGGATATTTGACAAAAATAAATTCTTTCCCCTGGTACCTTGCCGCTGTGCTCTATGACTGCCTGTACTGCCTGTGTTAGCGTTGTGTTGAGAGGACTGAGTGCAGGGGTCCAGTGTGAGTTGGGGGAATGAAAGAGGGAAGGGGTGTTTGCACCCAAAGCTTCGTCTGACCAAAATGCAGCTCATTCTCTAATTATTGTGAGCAGGATGGTCTGGAAAGGGGAGCTTGCAGTTTTTGCCAACATACCAGAGGTACCCATGGTGTTTAGGAATAGAAGAGCCCACAAAACCTCTCTTGCATGTGCTTTGGGAGTGGAGTTGAGGGGCAACGTTTTCCTGTATTTACAATGCTGAGGCTGATGCATGTGATTCATACCTTTATAAGCCAAAACATGTGTTTCATAAAATATGAATCCTCAGCATAAATCTTCTCTGTTTTGAAGAAAAGTGCCTGCTTGTGTCCTTTTTGAAATTTGAGTAGTGCTCCTTTTTGAAAAGGTTAAAAGATTTTTTTTTTTTTCTTTGATGGCTTTCCAAAGACTGAAGAGTGAACGTTTAATGATTAAATCTTGACAGAGAAATGATCTTGGGATTGGCACAGGCTTATACACAACTAAATGTGGCTCAAACTGAAGTGTGTGGCAAGGTTTTTGGAACTGACCAGTAGTTGTGTTGTTGCATCGTGTCTGCTCACATCCATGTGAATTCATATCTCTGCATAAAGCATGCAATGCTGTTAACAGTTCAGTGGGTCAGAAAAATGAGGAATTAATGAAGTGGATGGCAATTTCTGCTTGCTGTCTAAATTTGTTGTGTGTGGTTGTGTCAAGGGGAATGTGCTAGTGGGCTGGCAGCAGTCGGAGGCATAGATTTGTGGGAAAAAAAAACCCAGCAGCCTCTTACAGGGCTAATTTAGCTGAGTGAATAGCAAAAGGGTTTAGAAAGGTCAAGGGACATCCATGGCTCCCAAACTATCCTCTTTTCAGGGCGAAACAGGAGAAAGTCCTTTGGCAGGTGGTAGTCCTGTGATTATGGATGCTATTACAGGAATTCCTGCTAAATAACTATTAATAGACAGTTGTGAGTGTTTTAATGGTATAAGCTGATTTGATTGACATACCATTTCCTACTGTAAGCTGATTTAGATTTCAGCCTCCCCTGAAAAAAAACAAAGAAACAAACAAAACAAAAAAACACAAACCCCAAACCATAGCTGAAACAAAGATCCTGGTAAGTGTCAGCATCTCTTGCTAGTGTTTTGCTTACAGAAAAAGGATTGTTTCCCAAACCATGTTCTACAGCACTAGCCTCTGACATATTTGTCTCATAAATATTTCAACCAGGTAGTCTGGTTGAAAAACTAGCCACTTAAGTGGAGCAGTAATGAAAGTAGCACGTTCTTTTTGAAACTAACAAAACCCACCAAACCACCAGAGGGAATATGTTTTCAGGAAAATATGTGAATGGTTGTTCACATATTTTATATTCCTGATGGGGATGTTCCCATTTGAACAGCTCACAGAGTGAGCTGTTAGGTGCTGTGTGGAGGTCTGCAGAGACACAAGTTTTGCCTGGCTGTCCTGTGCTTATGCAGTGGAGAGAGATGACCTGGTAGCTCCACAACAGCTGGTGCTGCTCATGCAACATGGCTTCAACAGCTGCATCGCTGTTAGGTGCAGTATTCTTTTTTTAAAAAAAAATATTTGTACAGGTAGATGCCAACTTTTACTTGGATTCTGCATGTGAACATGGCTATGAAGGGGAAAATGTTAACTTTCATTCCCTGTGTTTTTTCAGAAATGACTTCATAACAAAGCTAACTGCTATACGGTGTAGCTTACAGCTAGGTTATAAAAACTGAGTTTATAAAAATTGGTGCTTTGTTAAGTAACACAGTGTGGTGGTATTTGCTGTCATTTGGGATTTTACAAAGCTACGAGGAGTGCATAGTAAAAAATCTTCCACCTTTTCAGCTTTGCCTTTTTGGAGGACAGACTCCTTTGTTAATTACAGTACCTGCTTTCAAAATTATTTTTTAATCCACTTTCTCTTTTTAAAGTGTTTAAATTCAGTTGTGATCTAGCTAAAATGGGTAGATATTTGTGGTGCAGAATGTAATTTTTAAAGAAAATGCTACTGGAAGGCAGGCAGGCTTGTTTCCTTCAAAGTTTTGTTTCCCTGCTGTACTAGATACGTTGATCCTAGCTAGTATCCTGCTGTGTCCTTTCCAGGGGGCTGCTGTTAGAAATCTTAATGTTATTTTAAAAATTGTTGTTCTTCTGATCACTGAAACCCCTCTGAAACTGAAGTATCAGCCAGCCTCTAAAGCCAGCTTACAAGAATGGAAATAGAAGTTAAGGAGGTGCTTGCCTAGTTGTTGCATCCCCTAGAAACAGCCTCTCCACCAGCATGTCCTCAGCTTCTGGAACAGTGCAGTATGTCCTGAAACTGGGAAGGCTCAGTGCATGAGCCAGTGTGTCCTGTGGGTGTGAATTATATTAGTCACAGCAGAAGCAAGTGATGTGCTGGGGGTTACAGAGTTCCTGGAGACAAGAGGGAGTTGGTGTTTCCCTCTTGAGGACATCTGTTTGGTTTGTGTGCTTTGGTAGGTGAGAAAATGCTGTGTGCTTCACCAGATGTGCCACTGGCACTGGAATATTTGCTTATAATTTTATAGCTGAAAATAAACTGAATTGGAAAATTATCTGTTGGTTGTATATAACAGAGGAGGCATCATCAAGCTGAAGACTGGTGTTTGTAGGAGCTCCTTTCCTTGGACAGAAGGTGGGCTGCTAAGCGTCTTTTCCTGGACTCTCCCTCACCCTGATCAGGACGGGGACCCAGAGTACTGGAATCTTCTCTGGAGGCAGTGTACCTTCCTACCCTGGTTTCACTCCTTGGTTTGTGCCTTGCATGAGCTTGGAGAGGCTGTTGGGACAGGGGTGCTGATGCCTCCAGCCTCATGGGGACGTTGCAGATAGCTTCTGACCTTGTGGGGAGCCCTCACGTACCTGTGGTACACTGTACACTTGCTGTCTCTTGCTGCTCAGTGCAAGGTTTGTCACGGGCAGAGGATTTTCTCATGGCATGGATGAACCTGATATGCCTTAGTGCTTCCAAAAATCATTATAAGTGAATCTGCAGCTTGTTAAAGAGAGCTGTTCTTTTGTCTCTTGTGAAGGTGTCTTGAAGGACTACCTGCGAGAGCTTCCCTCTCCCCTGATAACCAAGCAGCTCTATGAAGCGGTGTTGGATGTCATGGTGACAAATCCCTTGAAAATGACAGCAAATGGTTGCGAGAATGACCCAAGTGACTCTGAGCACACAGTAACCCTTCTGGATTGCCTGCCAGATGTTGAGAAGGTGAGTGGTGTTAGCAGGTTCACGTAAATTATGTGCTTCAGAAAATAAAGGAACTTTTTCACACTGGATTTGCATGTGTCAGACTGTGCACACCTGTTTCCTGACATAAAGGTCCACTTAGGTTTTTGATGCTCCAAGCCTTTGAAAATACTTCCGTGCTGTGATTAATTGGAGTGGTCTGCATTGCTGGATTTAATCTAGTTTGCATTTTATATTGTCTCTGTAAAACTAAATTAAAAGCTGTGATCAGTACTTTTGCATTGTTAGATGTAAGATGATTCCCGTGTGATTTCCTCCTTCATTTTTGTAGAGCTCTGAGTTCCGTTATGTCATAATTATGTGGGCAAATGCATTCCTCTTTCCCAAGCATGTGCAGTAAAGCCTTCAATTCCTGTACTGTGCAAGTGTGACAGTGCTGTGTGCTATTACCTGCCAAATTCGCTGCTGTACAAAGCCAGCCTGTTGCTGCAAGCAAGTGGCCTGCACAGTACCTGAATTTACCTGAAGGCTTGTTCTCATGCTGAGGTCATATTGAGGGTTTCTTTATTTTCTAATGTACCTGGGCTGTCTGTACTAGTTCTGCAGCTTCTCTCCCCTGCCTGATGTACCCTTTCCACTGTGAAAAAACGCATCCATGTAAAACTGAGACCAGGTAAGAAACAAGCTGCTCTGTGGTAGTCTAATACAGCTTTCCTAATTCAGCCCTTGGATGTTCCAGTGATGGTTGTTGGTAGAAAAATCATAGCTATCAGCCTTGATTATTGTCCCTCTAGAACAGTGATGTTAGGATGTCAACCCCACCTTCATCTAGTGTTTTGTTTCCTAAGCAGTACTTTGTTCTTGTAGGCTACCCTGAAGATGCTGTTGGATCACCTGAAACTGGTAGCTTCTTATCATGAAGTAAATAAGATGACATGCCAGAATTTAGCTGTATGTTTTGGGCCTGTGTTACTAAGCCAGAGGCAGGAGACTACCAACCATAACAACCGAGTCTTCACAGACTCAGAAGAGCTTGCTAGTGCCCTGGACTTCAAAAAACACATTGAGGTTCTTCACTATTTACTCCAGCTGTGGCCAGGTAATGTCTCATTAATCTGGTGAAGGGAAAATGTCAAACCAATACTGTATGTTTTTACTGTATGACAGTTTACATTAATTCACAATTTACATTAATTTGACTGCAAAGCATTGGAATTCTTAAAACATGAGGTACTGTAGCATCTCATATTAATCTAAGAAATCATGATAATTTCATAACCTACTCTTTGTACTCAGTCACTTTGTTTAATGGGAAGTTTGTTGTTTTAATTCCTTTTTTCCCATATGGCAGAGTTTGAGTATAATGTAAGAAGTGGTGAAGAGTGCTTTATGTGGGTAAAGACACTAGAAAAAAACAAACTCGGTGCCAGTAAGGTTTCCATGTCTGAATTAGGAGGTTTTGGGATGTTTTGGTTTTGTTTGTGGTTTGTTTTTTTTTGGGTGGGTTCTCTTTTTTTCTTCTTCTGCTCTCTTGCTTTGACCTTTCAGGATTATCTGTGTGTAGAATTCATGAGTTGTTTGGTCTCTGAGATACCCAAGGGGTTACTTTATTTCTGTCTTTGTAATTTGGCAGAGTTGAGAACATCTTACAGTAGGACCTGTGCAACTTCTAGTTGTTTTTGCAGAGCTTTGGATGAGGAAAAATATTTTTAAAACAAAACACAACAAAACCCCCAAATCAACCAAATAATATCCCCCCCTCCCAAAAACAAACAAACAAACAAAAAACCCCAACCAACCAAAAAAAAAAAAAAACCCAACACTGAGTACCTCTTAGCTCTCACTTCCTAATTTAGTAGGTCATATGCTTTTGCACTGTTTGGGGTCAATTCTCTTTAGTTCTCAAGGCTAAGAGAAGATTCAGCTCATCTAAACAGCTTCTGAATTGTTTCTGTTTAGAACACACTAATTGTTCTTAGGAAACTGCTGAATTTCTGGGTGAATTGAAATATGAAATGGAATTACAGTTAATTTAAATTAATAGTATTTCTGATTTGGTTTGTTTTTGAATTGATTTTATTTTTACTTGGAGAGGAGGGTGTCTGCTGTTTATGGGAGACTTGGGGGTCACCTGGGGGACGTGTAGGGTCATAAAGGGCCTGACTTGGCAATACTGAATTACAGATACTGTGGCTGCATTTGAGCCAGCCAGGTGGACTCTGCTGCTCTGTGTTCAGGATACAAAATATTCTATGCGTTTCAAGAGTGTTTGGAAAAGGGCTGTCAGATTCTATGCATTGATTTTTAAAAAAAAAAAAAGTATCTGGATTTGTTTTCTGTCCTTGGACATGAAGTATACATGCATATGCACTAGTAGACAAAGAGCAGGATAGGCATGTGAGCTTGTAGTCTTTGTCTTAGTAGTTTGTAATCAAACTTCGTATGATGCATGATCTTTCTGCTAATTAGGGGGGTTTAAGGTACAAAATCTATTTAAAAAAAAAAAAAAAGTATTGATGCCTGTACCTTTTTTAAACCAATTGTTATTAAGCAGGTCTTAATCTCTGCTTTGCTTAGCAAGTAATACTTGGTTTTTTTATCTAGAGGTTTATTTTAAATTTTAAGGCCTTTCTTGTGGGGGACTTTTGGTGCTTTTTATTTTAATTATGAGAGAAAAGTTTCAGGAAATGTTTAATCCTTTCTTGGATAAAACTATTGAAGTATCAGGACAAGTGAAGCAAATGCAAGGGAAGAGAGCTGACTGTAAGTAAACTTGACCAGCACAGTGCAATTGCCAGGTTTGTGAATAGCCCATTGAGGTCTTTCAGGTGCTCTAAAGTTTCTTGTGGTATATCAGGTACTGATTAGTATGAGAATACTCTGAGTGAGACAGTGATTTCAGCCATCGTGACTACTTCTTCATTCCTCTGACAACAGTTTCCACTGGGGGAGTGTGACTGGGCTCCATTCTACTTATACATTTTTCTATACTCTGCTGACCTGATGGTGGCCTTGCCTTAGAATCTCCTCCTGTGACAGCTGATGGCAGTTTGACGTAAGGTGTGGCTTCATGATGGGCTTGAGGGCAACCGAGGACAGTTCTGCTCCTTTGTCAGTTGTAGCTGGACAGCTCCAAAGCTGCTGGCCACCAAGAATTAAAGAGAAGCTTTCAGTCAGGTCAGTGAACCTGTTCGGGAGAGATGGGAAACATGGGTGGAGGAAGAGGGAGACTAAGAGCTGTTTGGACAGCAAATACTGCACAGGAGCTAATTGTAAAACCCTGGGGATGGCTTATGGCATGGATGCTGTGGCCAACAAAAGCAGGCAGATGTAGCTCTGCCTGTAGGAGTGTGCATTGCTGTAAAGGGGTCAGGAGTAGCCTAAGTAAGAGTTTTCTCTCGCCTTGAGGAGAAAGCTGAACGCTGTCCCTTGACTTGCAAGAACTGTGCAGGGCATCTTGCTCAGAGGGAGGTAACACACAGGCGTGGGGATGTGAACAGATGAACACTATACAGTGTAAATGAAACAACTGGACCCGATGGAAGGGTCACAGTCTGGTCCCCTACATTTAATCTTCTGTAAATTGAGACAGATGGATAATCAACATGTTCTGCAATACTTGAATTTCCATATTTTTCCAACCAAAAGCAAATAGTCGTTGTTCAGTTAGACCATGTAATACTGGTGAGTTATTTTTAACCCATGGCCCTATGTCTTAATGGAGCAGAGGCTGAACAGAAGGGCTTTTGTTACAGCAAGGGGAGTGGGGGAAGCAGTGATAGTTATTGCATGTTACTGTGCAAGACAAAGTATAACTAAAATCCCCTGGAGAGATCTGTAATGCAGACCCAGAAAGAGAAGCATTGGGCACACCTCAGGACTGAGCCTGTGTGCGAGGAATCTGTCAAGGAGTGGGTGAGATAGTGAACTGAACAGGTTTCAATCGTGAACGGGCATAGAAGGTCTCTGCTGCTAATTACAAGAGGTAATTGACTGTATAAAGTCAGAAGTAGTTTTGCAGGTCAATTGCTTAATGGGCCCAGGTCAGTAAAAATATTTGTGCTGTTTACCGTAGGAAGCCAGTAAGAGTGGAGGATGCTGTTAGTAACTAATGCTGTATAATCCTGAGCTCAGGTAACATTGCCATCAAACCTGTTTGAGTGTGTCTGACGTGGGGTTGTGGCTGCTTAGGGAAACTAGTGCAAATGAGCTGCTTTAATAGCGTAGAACATTAGGGCAAGAGAGAAGCGCAGGAGCTCAACTCTTGGTGCGTCTTCTAGGTGTTTCTCAGCAGTGGTAGTTCTGTTGTGTTTTAACCTCTCTTGCTCTGCCTGCTTTCTGTTACTCCTTTAGCCTGGATGAAGCGTCTGAGCTGAGCTGTTTGCTTTTCTTTGACCCAGACCCAGATGGTGATTAACTCATGCAGTGAATTTAATTGGTGCTCTGGAAGTTTCCACTTTTAGATGGGCTTCTCTGTTGCAGTTTGAATCTGGCATGAGTCTTCAAAACTGAGCTTTTACAGTAGTTTTTCTAATTATTTTATATCAAATATGTGGCAGAAACGTAATAGTGGAATGTGTTGGCTGTAAGCTTGCATGTATTCATGCATGCTCTTAGTGTGTGACATCGAGGGAGGACAGTGGGCACCTGTCATGGACTCTTGTTGTTGCAGCATGGATTCAATCCTGACTGCTTTAATTTCTCCTCTATTCCAGTACGTCACTCACCTGTCAAAGAAGCACCACATCTGAATGCATTTCCTGAGCACCCATCCTCCCTGAATTACCTCAGACCCAAGAGGCAGAGACCTCAGATGCTGAATCTGGGTGGTACTGAGATGTCTGGTTTACTCAGACCAAGGCCAGCAGGTCTAGACAGCCCATCGAGCAACCGCTACGCTGGAGACTGGAGTAGTTGTGGGGAGAACTACTTCTTAAGCCCAAAGGACTGCCTGAGCGAAGCAGACTACGATGATGTCCCTTCAGAAGATACTGAGAGTGGGGACGACAGCAGCAAAGCCGATGAGTCGGATGCCCCAGTAAGACACCTCCAGCCCATCCCCAGAGAGCACACGCTGCAGAGCTATTTGACAATGCAAGCAATGGACTCTGCAGTGGATCACAGAGCAAACCTCAAAGACCTGCAGGAAAGTATCGATACTCTTATAGGAAATCTGGAAAGGGAACTCAACAAAAATAAACTAAATAGGAGTTATTAAATCCTGTCCTGCACAGCGCCGCCTCCTTGTGCCTTCATGCCCTTCATTGTGCTTCCCACAGCTGCATGAGGAGTGATGGTGCCCCTGAATGCCCTGTGATAAGACCATGACCTACCTTGCGTTAACAAATTTTAAGCCATTCTGTTATGTTTCTGCCTTTTTGTTAGAAGAAGGTGTTGGCCTAATTCAGGTTTTGGAGACAAGCTTGGAGGGTGTGAGGTGATTCTGTAGAGTGGCATTTCTCCTTCTCCCTAAAAACACTACGCACTTAGGTGGTTTGGGCAATACTGGCAGAAGATAAAGCAGCATCTCTGCTGTCAGCATCAGCAGATCTCCTTATTCCTGAAATCCTGGCTCTGGTGTGGACGTTCCTCTCGGGAGAGGATGAGCGCTGCTTGGCCTGCGTTTTGCAGCATGGACTTCAGATTGACTTGTTCTACTATATATGCAATGGCTGCTATGAAAAATGCTTTATATATATATATAATATTTATATAGTTTTAATTGTACAAATATTAACGTATTCCTGTGTTAACACTTTTCAGTAATTATTTAAACAAGGAAAAATTAAGTATTTTTCTAACCTCATTTGTATATATCTATGTATAAGTGTGTCTGTAGCCATCTTTGGAAAGGAGAGGTGTCTCAGAATTACAAAATGGACCCATTTCTAGGAAGATGTGTTCAGTGATGCCAGGATGGAGTGACTCCTTGTGTAACACAGCGTTTATTTTATGCACAGAAACATGGCCAGCGAGAAGGCAGGGTGAATGATTAATAGACATGACCTTGTGTGTTGCAGGGGCATCAGTTCACGTGTATTGACTGTTAACTCTCTTTCTCACACCCCGACACTATCTTTTCTCTTCCTCCCCCTCTCCACCCTGTGTTTTTTGTATGTTTAAAGGAGATCTGAAAGGTTCATGTAAAAAAAAAAAAAACCTTCTGGTTTGTCATTGTAACCTGTTACTTTATTCTTGATGTTTCAGTACTTTTTTTCTCTGGAGCTTCATGTGTTTTTGTTAAGGTACATTTATCTGGCTGTTGGTAGTTCAATGTGTTTGAGCCCTCTCTGATGGGATGTGGCTCTGGGGACGCAAGACTAGACTCAAATTCTGCACAAAGGCAGATACTTTTTTTTCCCCTCTGGGTCTTTGAATTAATGTCTCAAAAATGGGAACCTCAGTTGTTACATGGGGTTGGATGGGTTGAGTGATGCTACTACTGGGGAGTTTGGGTGTGATTACAGTTCACTGTGACTGATTCAGCATCACCATCCTCTCAGATCATCTTTTATCCTTTGTAATTTATGGTGAATAATTAGAAATTTCATGTGTAAAGAAACACATTCTTGGTTTAGTTGAAAATAGTTATGGATCGCATACAGATATTTTGATAGTTCCCCTACCCAAAAGGGGATACAGAATCATTCCTTGTCCTTCACAGGTCACCCCCAGTGAAGAAGGGGGGATTTGGGCAGGTGGGGGTTGAGGGTGTTACGTGTTTTGAGAGGTCAAACGCTGAGTTGCTGTCAGCTGTCAGTGTAGAACTTAATTCTCTTCATCTTTTTGGTACATCCTGCCATGGCTTTCCATTCGCCCTGTGGGTAAGTGCTTTTCTGCTAACCTATACTTCCTTATATTGCTTAATTGAAGAGTTATTTATTTACAGGAACAAGGAATTAAGAATTGCTATAGCAAACTTCACCCCTCTTTCCTAAGGAATTATTTTGGCATGGTTTCAAATGGTTTATTCAATCTCATTAATTTATTTTGTATGTGTTTAAAAGATGCAAAACAATTATTGCAATATAATGATAATGTATGAAAATGTAAATTTAACCTGAAACATTTATCAATAAATCAATGTATTTTTTTAAACTTTTATACCTGCAGAATATGCATACTTTTTAAACTATAAATTCTAAATAAAATTTCAATAAAGAACAAAATTTAACTAAGCCTGGTTTTTGATTATTTAAACCGGTCTAAGTTGATATGATCCATTTGCACTGGCTGCACATGTCCGTTAATTCCATAAAGAAGTTTTCTTCTGTTGCCATTTCTAGATTGACCCAACATTTAAGTTGCACATTTAAAAACAAACAACCAACCCCCCCCCCCCCAACCAAAAAAACTGCTACTCAATTTAAATCCAAAAGGAGTAATATTCTTAAGAAGTTGTCAAACTAGTGTTGTGGCAGCATTTCTTCTTCTATTGCAGGATGCCAATGCTTTTGAGCATAGCCTGGCTTCTGCACTGAGTGTGAAGATGTATTGGTACTAGTTGAAATAAGTTTGCATTTGAAGTTATTTAATAAATGATGTATCAAGTTTTCATTCTTTCTAATTATCTAGATGATGTAAATCAGCACCTTTTGAATAAGCATAAACTTTTTAAATGGAAGAGTTCCATATCTCTGCAGCAGTACACTGCTCTGTCCACCTTAATATTTTAGCCTTGCAACCAGGGAAATTAATGACTTGATAAACTATTAATGTTAATCTAATTAGTTCATTACAGTATAGTAAAGTATTGGTATTATTCAAAGGAAACTGTTGCTAATTTAGCTGTAACAACTTGCAGAACATGTTTTGTGTCTTACAAGTCCTCTTCCAATGAGACAGTTCCCAAGTGGGATTTTTGTTAGGTTGTCACTTATATGTATTCTTGTATATAAGATATATAAATATTATATATAAGAATGTTCTTATAGATATTCTTATTATATATAAGAATATAGATATTCTTATATTATATATACTTACATAATCTGGTCAAGCTGCATCCTTCTTACGATTGTTAGAGATTCTTAAAGAACAGGATTACTGTGGGAGTTACCCTCATCTAGAGACACTAAACTGACAGATTAAAACAACCTGTTTCTACCAAAGTAGTAACAAATTCTTTTTCTTACAAAACAGCAGCCTCAGGCTGTGTGGTGTTCGCAGGGTAGAACTCCTGTTGAACCCCATGAGTAGAGCCAGGAACTCCTCTTACTGTACTAACCTTTGTTGTCTGCTTGGTGTAACTTGGTGTGACATCAGGAGCAGCTCTTGTTCTGCAGGAGATTTCACCACTGCTAGAAGAGGTTAATTGCAGAGGACAGAGCCTGCAGGTGAGTTCAGAGAGCAGGTATCTTTGAAGCTTATGGACTTCCTTCAGGTGTGACCTCTGCTTCCCAGGTAAAGAAAACAGATGCAGGTGCTCTTACAGGAACAGTTCCAAGACTTGCACCAAAATCACATAGAAATTGTTATACTCAAGCATGGGGCAGTGATGGCCATGTGCTGTGCTAGGTAGCAACCAAGAATTATAGTTTGTAGACCCCAGAAAAAATCAGAAATGCATCTGTAGTTCTGTGCAGCTCTTTGTTGCCAAGTGTTAAGGATGTGATACACTTAAGTGGGTTCAGGGATGCACTAGGCCTAGAGTTTTAATCCATTGATATTTGTTTAAACAGAATTGTGCAAATGCTTCTTGGGCTGTGTGTGGCTGATCCAGCTGACACTGAATAGTTTCTCTCCCCTTTTCAGCTTCCCAAACTGGCTTTTTACAGGAGTGTGCAAGAGGTGGGTGGGGATGGTGTGGGATATAGAATATAGGGGTTGGCAGCATGACCTTGAGCTGGCTTAAGCTGTTGGGGATCTCCATACTCAGAATTTCAGATCTTTAGCTCTGTCTTTCCCAAGTGTCTAAGCTGTGTACATGTTTGTTAATGCACCAGGCAAGAAATGTAGCTGCAGCTATTCAGATGTGTTCTAGAAATAGAGGGAAAGATGCCCAACAGAATTAGATATTCTGGATTTTCATGGAATAAATCTACAAACCTGATAAGCCAGAAACACATCTGGTATCTCTGCTGCCAGATCTTAACCCCTTCACCTTCCTCCCCCTCACAAGGTATAGGGTTTTCTTAACAGTAAAAAGGTATTTTGATAAAAGAACTCTTTATCTCAATTTCTGGAGCTAGCAACAGTTGAAAGATGTCTTTGTGGGGTGGGAGAAGGTGTTACCCTTCAGTGTAACTATGATGTGTTTATTTTTAAACGTCATCCTAGGCAATGAATTAACTGGTTTCATTCTGTTAGACTTTTTTTTTTTTGAGCCATGCAAGAAACCCTGTGGTTTGGTTAAACAACAAAATTTGCTAGGCAAAATTAACCTGTGAGATAGTCTGTCACGAGATAATGCCAGGCTGACCCTGCAGATATTTGAATGGCTAGGACGGCATTACAGAGGATAGAAGATCATAATGGAATGTATAATCTTATGTCTATGGTGTTATTTGGGAACAGGGATGAGGAGGAAAATGGCTCCCAGAAAGGCTACTCCTTTTCCGTTGGGAGATTCCTGCCGTTCCCCAGATGACTTAGCTCTGAGGAAGAAGGGGCACTGATGGACAGAGCCCTAATCTGCTGCCTTCTTGTCCTCACTGGTAGGAGAACTCAGCTAAAATCTGTCTATCTCCTGGAATATTTTCTTAACACTCCTAGGAGTGCCTCTATGGTGGAGAATAGAGCTCCTGTTGAGGCTGCTGCCTCTTTTGGGTTTTAGCGACAGAGCTACAGTGGAGGGGAGATGGTTGGGCTTTCCAGGTTAAGCCATGGCCATCTGGTTGGCTTTAATGTGTTTGTGGTTTGCTGCCCTGTTAATCAAAAATCTGTGGAAGGTGATCTGAGGTGATGCTCTAACAAAGTCCAGGCCTGATAACAAAGAGCTGAGTTTAATTAGCTGGTTCTGGGCTCTTTACATATCTGTATGGAACAGGCTGTTAGTTAAATATTGATTTAGCAGAGGAGCTGTGCTCTCCTTGTTTGAGTTCTGGCTGTAAACACCAGGCTGCAGGTGGTAGGGATGTGCTTATTGAGTTTACCTTGGTTTTAATTTAGCGGTAGTTTAATATGAGGGCCAAGGAAAATTACTGTAACATTTCAACTTCAAATGAACAAACAAAAGCCTATTTTTCAAACCAAGTCATATCCAGTGGCACCAAGCCTCTCTTAAATCAGACCAAAGTTCAATCAAAGTGCTAAAAGTATGTGATGGGGAGATTGTGGCTGCAGAAAATTGAAGGAGTGAATTTTCAATAGTGCCTAAGCCAATGTGCAGTGTTTATTTTAGAGGACACAGGAGGCTCACACTGCTCCTATTTCCGATTTAGCTACGCTGTACTCTGATGAAGCAGAGCACCAGGGCTGGCTGTTGCTTGTCAGCTGAAGATCCTCTCTGCAAATCCCTGTGTGTCCATCACCTTTTGTGCTTTAATGTCTACTGTGATCATATGGACATTTGTTTGACAGGAGCCTTTGACCCTCAGTTTGGTGAGTCATGGAGAGTGAACTCACCCATATAGAGTTTAATCTGCTCTCCTCTGATAGATTTAATTTCTGCTTGATAGGCTCTTCTCAGTTACATGGTGCCTGACCTGGCTATTGAAACCAGGCAACCAGCAGAACACTGCTTACACAAGACTTGTCTGTGTGGATGGAGGATGAACATCAATATTCATGAGCTGTTATTTATTTACACAGGTCAATATTAAAGCTGCAGTATAATACCATTCAATCTCTCTCAAGAACGCAATTATCTTTTGACAGAAATGCACACACTTGACAGCCCCAGTGGGCTTGGTAAAATCTGTTTATTCTAAATAATACTGATTTCTTCGAGAGAACAATGTGTTTTAATGGCTTTGTTTTTCTGCTTCTAACCATTTGCCAGGCTTACATAATAATATTTTCTAATCTGCTAATGGCATGTTAAAGTGGTTCAGGCTTTGCAGTTTGGAGGGTTTATGAATAGTGTGGTCAGATCTATGCTTTTGGTTCAGCATCCCTTGAAATTTCTTTAGTAATTTATGTGGTCATCCCTTAGTGTATCAACGTATGGATTCAGGAGAGGTGCAAGAGGCTCCCCTAGCATTTAAGTGTAGTAATAAATAGAAGATTTTATAGAATGATGAATATATGTTGTGGTTGCACTTAAGGAAACAGAAACAGTTTGCTGTCGTTGAGGGAGCATTGATGTTAACTGCATAGGCAGTAGCATTATATGGTGCTTTTTGAGTGTTTGTGTCAATCTTCTTGGGATAGATCCTCTTGTAGCAGTGATGGCCACCTCTCTTCCTTGCTGTAATCCAGGTGACTGCACATGATATTTGTTCCCATGCTTCAAGAGCTACAATGACTTGTTGATTTATAAGAGCAATTCATGGTTTGGTTTTGAATTTTAAACCCCTTAGGTGAGAGTGGAGCCTCTGCACGAAGAATTGTTCTTTCCGTCTCCTGTGTTACTGTGATTGCTGTGATCTTCTGAGGTAGCTGTGTGCCTGCATGCCTTCCTGTCTCCCTTCAACAGCAGCTTGGGGACGTGGGGCTGCACAGACCTCAGGTGAGTGTTCTTACTCTGGAGTGCTTCCTGTCACTGTATCTTCAGAGCAGGAAATCTCCTGGACATTTCAAAACCCCCTTACTGCTTGTCTCTAAGTTTTCAAGAAGAGTGAGTGCTTTGGGTATGAGGGAGGAGATGCTTGCTGGACCTGAGTAGCAGAATTTGGATGGCCTATGTGAATGTAACTACTGGAGTAGAACAGCTTCACCTCTAGTGGGAGTAGGTGGATGTAGATTGGAGAAGTGAATACTGGCATGTTGGTTTGACTGGCCGAATTGTGTTCAAGGTTTTTACAGCTAATACAGTCCTGACAAACACAAAACTTGAAAACTATTATTTAAACAGATAATAGTATTCATTATAACTGTATTAATTAAAGATAGTGGGTGAAGTGTGCCCCAAACAGCTGTTTTCTAACTACATTAGGAGTGAACAGATGGATAAAGTTAACAAAATTATAATCTCTAACAGCAAAATGCTTTATTTCTGAAGCTAGACGTGTTCTGCTGAAGTAAAGAGGTCCTGAAATAAAAAAGTTGCAGGTTCTAAAGGTGATAATGGGGTCTAAACATCTGATGAGGAAAGTATTCCTTGTCCCTTTACTAGACCTAAATCCACCTGAATCTGCTTCTCCAGGTCAAAGAACACAATATAGTCTGCACTTCCTTGCTGCTTCATCTCTTCTCTTCTTCTGTTTTCTGTAGAGCAGTCATACTCTGAAGGAAAAACACATAACAAGCAATAAAGCACTTGTTAATCTTCAAAACCTGTGTGTGACCCCGTTTCTTTCTAGTGGATAGTATCGGTGCTATCATGAATTAATGAAAATAGGGGTCACCCACTTAGGGCTACAGTAGCTGAATTGTCATTTCCTTGATTGATTGGTTGGTATTATTAAACCATTTACCAAAGAATGGACAGGCAAAATGTTTATATGAATAATGAATGGACGGCTGGAGTCTCTCCTCACTTGAAGGAGTGTTGTTTATCGGGAAGTTGCCAAAATGTAACTTTTTGAAAGAGCAGCCAACGTAAAAAGAAAAGCAAACTCATCCTCATTAAATGTCCATAGGCTCTAATGCTCTTGCAAGAAATTTCACTTGACCAATGAACTCACATGAACTAGGACCATTTATTCCACCCCTAAGAACTGTAAATATGAAATAAGAAGCTGATAAGGTATCCAGATTATGTCAATCCTGATTTTTGAAATCCTGTGAACTACGGGAAATCCTGCCTAGCAAAATAGGTGCATTTTAAAGACCCAAGGGAATAAAGAAGGTTTTGTTTTTTTCAATTCCAAGTATAACATACTGTTTTCTCTCTCTGTGTTTCCGGCTCCGTTTCAATTCTGTTTTGGGTTGAGACTCTTGATGCTCTAAAAACTCTTCTTCACGGTACTTCAGATATCTGGCTTCTCTTTCAAAATAATCAAGTACGTTGGCAAGCTATTAACACAAGGACAAACACAGATCATTACATGCCTATAGGCAAAGAATTATTGGTGATGATCTGAACGGTATTATTAGTTTATCTATATTGGGAATATAGATATCTCCAAATAATTTGCAGCAAACCTAATATAAAGATGTAGATTGAAACCAATTGTTTTTTTTTACGCAAACATGCATGGGATTAAATAATTTTTATTCCACTGACTCTGACTAGATCATCCTTCAGGAAGCTGCACCGAAATAACTAAACCAGTTTTAGTTAGTGATTTTACTAAATCAGTCCAAATCCTTGCTGACCCAACTTCAGGGACAAAGAAACAATAAAATACCATATTTCAGTATCACACTATATATTTATATGGGATTCTATGTTTTTTGATAGTCTCTTCAACAATCTAGCATTTTTCAGTGAACACTTCAGTTAGAATGGATGTAATCTAAATATTAGTGACTGCTCCTGGGTTAATAATTCTCTGCCCTAAATAGCATAGTTCCAAAGCACATGTAATTTGGGCAGAAGCAGTGCATTTACACGTGTTATAGCACTTTGCTCCTACCTTGGAGAAGTTACTTTTACTAAAATAAGGCTGCTGACCTGGTGTGATGTTGCTGCATGCTGTACCTCTGCATGCAGTAAACCTTTACAGGATCTTTATAAACTATTTAAGTGCATACATAAGCTAGGACAAGATGGGGAAAAGATTTTGTGATGTAAAATAACGGACTAGGTAGCAGACTGCTGGACGGATGAGATGAAAACACTAGCTTCATCTTTGTCAGGGAGGTAAAGGAAAAGAACAACTAAAAACAATGTGAGAATAAAGAGAAATCAAAACATTTTCCATTGTTCCCATGGCCATTTGGTACAGATAGTCCTTATTTCAAAAGAGAATGAATGAGTGGTAATGCTAGTAACAGTACGCAAAATGTGCTTTATCTAAGCTCACACCAGATGTGTAACTAAGATGTGTAAATAAAAGTACCAAATTTACATGGAAAAATCTGACTCAAGTGTGGAGAAGAAGGCGTGAAGAAAGAGAAACTTGGTATCTTTACACTAACATGCACTGTATAGCACTGTTTTAATGCATGAAACCAGGTGTCATTTTATGCATGTGGCAAAAAATGCTGAACTCTTTACTGTGTTTTCATGTAGCCAGGATGGAGCAGTGGAATATTGCCAGCTGTCACCCAGGTTTCCTTTAGCTGCTTCCTATCTGAGCTCTGTGCAAAGCCAGCTTTGCTACGGGTGATCTTTGGAGAACATGGCAATATGGGTGTTAAATTAATTGCCATCCATTTGAAGGCAAGTTTTCTAGGCAGGCCTGTTTCTGTGTTGGAGTTTTCAGGAGGAAGTGTCACAGAGATTAATAAAAATTCTTACCAACCTCATGGATTAAAGGGTAAATTAGTGTCTGACAAATCTCCAAAACATGCAGTACTCCAAGGTCATCAGAAACAGCTAAGAAATGCTGCATTGCTGAAAGATATTTGACAAAAAAACATGTAAACAATCTAAATTCCAACAGTAACACATACCTCTACTTAAACAAGCTACAGAGGGTTCATTTTTGTTTAACAAATGAAATTCCCTTTAAAGTTTATACTTCTTCAATTTTTTTTTTTCTAAATTAAATGTTTTCAATTGCTTTATGGCATGGTAGTACACTTACAACTGATGCATGCATTTTTGTATATACAGCGTGGTGTTAAATTTGTGGAAGTTTGTACTTATTAAGATAGTCTGTAACAAGATTAGTGTGGCTGGGAGTCATGGGCCATTATGCCAACAGGGTGGCACAGTGAAGTGAATCACCATCAACGCACGTGAGCCAATCCAGGGGCTGATGAAAGAGATTGCTGATTTGGAGATGTTCTGGATATGACATGGCTCATAAGTTTTCTTCATTAAGTCCCAAATATCTATGTTTCCATCGTCTCTGCCAATGAAGAAAACTCCTGGTCTTGTCAAGGACCAGTGTCCTGCAGTGTTTCTTCCTGTAGAGCAGCTTGACTGGAGGATTGGTCCATTCTTAATTTGAAATCAAAAGATAGACCAAACAATTAAACAGTACTATCCATTCACTTATGAAAAAAAAAATTAGAAAATCATTAGAAAAATTATTAGGAAATAATTCTAGAAAATCCATCTTTATCATTTGAGAAAATTCACAATTTAAATGATCCTATTACAAAAATTACATCAATGGCAAAATTGCTATCACCTTCTGCAGGTACAGAGGAGAACTGTGGTGAAGTAAAAAAACCTGATCTCTCACTTCCAGTCTATTAAGGTAAACTGTCTGTTTGCTCTTAAAATCTGTGGCCTTGAGATTTTTGCAAGGTACAGCTAACCTGGCTTTCCTACATGAGATGAACTGTAAAAAAACCCAAACTACCCTTTTGCCTTCAGATAATGAGAAGACCTTCATCCTAAATATGAGTTCCTTAGACTTGTATAGCACACACTGCCTTTATTCTTGTTTCCCCAGCAGCAAAAATAATTTGTTGAGAAGTTACAGTTTTTACAATATTGGAATTGAAGGTAGCTTCATTTTTACTTTTTTTCTTCTCTTAAAAGACAAGTTTACAAATCTGTTTCTAAAATAGTTTTCTGATATGAAGAAAGAGAAAAAGCTCTTCTAGGTTGTTTTATACCAAATTTTTTTCTACGTTATGAAGCTTTGTGACTTAGAAACGTTTCTGAAAATACAGATTCTGAGGCTATTATAGTTCTGTCTTTATATCTATCATTTATGTGGCAGCTGTATTAAAGGGAGTTACCATAATGCCTTCTTTCCAAATGGCAAAATTCCGTCCTCCAATGCTTAGAATGGTGTCCTTAAAAAACGGAGATCTCTGGAGAGTGTTGATGGTTCCAGTGTGGATGATGTATTCCTGAGTGTGCTTCTGACCTAATGGGATGAGAAAGGTAGCTGCTTGAAACTAGTGCTTTAGTGATTGTCTTCACAGTGGGACTTACACAGAGGGAAACGAGTGCGCAGGATCCAGCACAGGCTTCAAAGATACTAGCCTCATTTTTTTTTTTCCACGAGCTATAAGGACTTGAATTGCCAATAGTTACTTCCATGATTTTTTGCCAATAGGTACATAGGAAAGCACCTGTGATACTGGAGAGGGTTTTTGCTATTCTGTCATGACAGCTACACTGCTTGCACTCTTGAAGGTGTACTGCTAAATGCTAGTGTCATCAGTGAGATAGACTATTACAGCAGATGAGAAAGAGCCTTTGAAAGAGTATAGATGCAAATATTTTAAAGTTAGCTATATATTAATGTATTGAAAAACTTGAACTTACTAACTGGTTTTGCCGAGTCACTATCCATTTCCACTTTCCAGTCAGAATAAACAATTTCTCCATCCTGTGATGCCAGAAAAACAAAGTAAATCTAACATTAGGGCTTGACTGAAAAAACACTAACATTGTAGATTATAATTTTTCAGTTATATTGCCAAACCAGCTTTACTTAGCACTACGTATGTAGGCAGTTCTTCCTGCACAATTAAGTGCTCAGTTTTTACAGTTCATGCTTTGCTGCAGTATTTGGGGAAAACTTGAACAGAAGCAAAAATGTAGCTAGTACCCAAATTTTCATTTTCATACAAACTCAAAACTGAGGAAGAATTTGGAATTTTAGATAGGCAGCATACGTAGAGGGCTATGAATAGATGAGAATTCCTAATGTAGAAATAATTTGTGAGGAAAACTGTAGTATAAACATTTTCACCTGATGTTTGGGGAAACACTAAAAAAATACTGCTAATCGTATGTGTTCTAGAATAAGCAACTACTGTTTGGTTCCTGGTAGCAGGTAATTAAGTTCAGCATATTTTGCCCTTGAAGTAAGGGTTCATAATCTGCCAAATATTGGGGGTTTATTATTATTTTAAGCACATAGCTAAATGCATTAAAATGGGAGTAAAATGTGGCATGTCCAGAAAGATCTTTAGTTACACCTGAAGAAAACATGCAAGTCCATACATTTTGAAAACTGTTAATTAATTGTTCTGGTTTTTTATGTCTCGGTTTAACATTTTCATTGGCAATCTTATTTTCACTTACTTCAGTTCCAATAAAAAAGTCAGTGGATATACTCTCTAGCACTTTCAGATTCTTGCTTGAAGAAATATTCATCTCTGTATATGGGCTGCCTTTGGCAAGTAGCTGTAGTATGTTGAGGGGTTGCATCTTCTCTGGGAAACAATATGGATACATCTCTTTATTGTACACTGGAATTTATCAGACCAATTTATCCGGAAGGAATTCCAAGAGGAGAGATGAAGAAAGATTGTAAAGTAAAGCAGTGGTTCTGTAGGTTAACAGCTTCCTCATGGGATCTCCTCATTACTGCGGCTGCTCTGAAGTTAGTGCTTCCTGCACACAGACAACTACTTAGGGTAGCACCGCGCTGTGCTTCATCGCTTTTACAAAGCACCCGTGTCTCCATGGGAACTGCCTGTACCTAGCCACCCTTAGCTGCTGCAACCAGGAGCCAACATCTCTGCTCCAGGGAATGGCACAGCCCACCTTTGGCAGCCTGTGGGGCCACAGCGTGTGCTGGAGCAGCTACACCACAGCTGCTGCTCAATGTCCAGAAATGCATTTTCTGGCATTTGCAGTCACTCTTGCAGGTAGTCCAACTCTTGGGCTACCTGTGTGTCAGCTTGCTAACTTTCCAGAGGGATTAGCAGTGTGTCCCTACCACAAACACCATACTAAGAATTGGTCTGCTACAGCTAACTTCATGTTCTGTAGTGAAGAGGAACACCTCTATCCAAAGCACTACATAAATACCTACAATATACACTGTTACTCCAGGATTATTTTTCTGAAAATAGTATTCTCCTAGAGGTGAAAAGGACGTACTGTTTCGGGGCTAAAGAGGCTGGGTGGAGGGACTTGCATAGGCTATTAAGTGAAACCTAGCAGGCTTACTGTGATATGGAACTGCTCTTTCTGTATTCAATACACAGACGTATCTTTGTAATCAATACATGTATGTCCCACTTTTGATACCAGGATATTTAAGAAACCTTTTTCCCCGGATACATTTAGCTATGCATTTTGTTGCTCCGTTTTCATTATGTATATACTGAAATGTAAGCTTATTAAAAACATTTTCCCCAATAAAGTGTAATAAAAATATTACCTGAGGTTTTGTAACGATAATGCAGTTCCCTTAAGCTAATTCTGGTGGGACTGTACTCTCTGTTGATATCACTTTCACACAGGTTTATCTGTTCAGAAAAAATGCATTTGCTAACTCATTTTGTCAGATCTTTGAGGTACAAGACTAAATGACTTTCTGCTGTCATGGAATAGGTCTTTTCAGTTTGCAGTGTGTTTATAAATACTCCATGAAGAGTATTTGCTACCTCATGTGCAAGCACAGAGAAAATGCAAATCTGTGGTTTCTCTCGTGTTATCCTTTCCCTGCAAGGATTTTTTCTAGAAAAAAACCAAACAGTTCCAGTGGTCATGCTTGTTCAACAAACTGTACCAGCTGCAGCTAAGCACCACAGATCAGCAGGTCCAAATTTTGTTTTTTACCTAACAGATTATTTCAGCCTCGCTTTTTTCAGAACCTGCTATTGCCATTTTCATCAGCCTGACTACTGGGTTGCGAGTAATTACGGTTCTGTTGACCATCACAGTATTTGACATATTGGGATCCACTGAGATAGACAGCAGAGCAGTTGAAAAGGCTGACAGGAACTTACACTATTAATACAACTACTTCTGCACCTACTTCAGTTTTTAAGAGGAGACCATGCTGTTTCTTGTGAGTTAGCTTTTCAAAATGCATTTTATTAGAATTTCAGAGGAATGCTGGAGTCCTTCATAATCAAAAGGAAATTCACAAGGAAGTCACAATTTGCTGGAAATATTAAAAAGTTGGGAAGCAAAAGAACACATGCCTATAAAGTTCTGGCCATATCTACTTATTCCCCTCTGTTCTATATTTGTGTGTAGTACCTTTATGAGAGGTTTCCAGCAGAAATCTAGGTGCTTAGAAGTATCTGGAACATCAGGGGGCATATACAAACTTTCCTTGACTTTTGTTTTCCCAGATGAAGGTGGCTGAGGAAGTTTGGTGGCTGGAATATCCCAAAATAATATTGAGCTGCAAATGATTGTATAATATTATTCCCTGTTTTTGTTTTAAAGTCAGATAGAGTTTTCCACACATTTTAAAGTAATCTTCAAAATTTACATAGTAGTAGTCATTCTGAAAAACACATGAATACTAGATACTTAATTGCTTCTTTTGTAAATGATGACATATATTCCTTTATTCACCACTTCATCAGTTGTTAACTATAGCAAAGCAGCTAAATAACATTTGTAGTTTGTTAATGGAAAGTTACTGGGTGAAGTTACTGGCATTACCTGGCTGAAATTCCTGAAATCTGAGAGAACTGGACAGAACTCTGTAGCAGATAATCCTGTAATCCAAACTGAACCTCATTCCCAATTCTTGCGTGTACCAATTTATTTGCTGACATTCACAGCAAATGATCCCACTCACCTGAATCTGTCATCTCATTGAAGTTTCCAGCCTTCTGATTGTTCCTATTGCTCTGCTCTGGACATTCATTCACAGATTTGATATAAACAATAATAATTTTCCTCCTTGCTGACATCTTTTCTAACGGGACACCTCTTTTTCTAACAGGAGCTGCTCAGGGACCTGTGCTCTTCAAGGATGACATTACAGTGACTTCCCTGCTCTTACTTCAGGTGAATACTTTTAATTCAGACCCCTGGTGTGTTCTTCCATGTGCGTTACTTGCATTACACTACAAACTTATTAACAACTGTATTTGTAATCATTCTTCTAGCTTAATTATTTAAGTCTTCTCTGTATTTGATTAGGGAAACTAACTTTGTATCATTACCAAATTTTGCACCCTCCTTTTGATAACTAGCAAATATATATTGAATCCAGCCACACAGCCTTGAAGCCTTCAGCCTCTTGCCGTCATGAAAGCTAAATATTTATTTCCACTTTTTGCATTCTGTCTCCTTGCCAATCTTGCACACAGAATAATATTTGGTCATAACCATCACGACTACTCAGTCTGCAAAACAGAAGATTTATGGAGAGTAATTTTGCCATCTAAGTCTCCCAGTTTATAGTTTGCAGTATTTCTGTGGCCTTAAAATCTTTAACAGCTTTTTGTGAAGTCACATAATCAATTTAGGTGTTGGGATCGTGGCTCTCCAGGCAAATGCAGGTGTGATCAACACTCTTCTTAAGGTATACACGGAATATAAACGTATACATGTGAGGTTTTTCTGTTAATGAGCCATTAGTGTAATTACTGTAAAGGGTTTAACTGCCCAAGAACTTGATGTGCTGGTCTTAAGCACAGAGAATTTAAACTATTCAGGATAGGCTGAATCATGGAGTGTACTCCCTAAAGCTTTCCAAAAGAAACTGGAAGACATCTTATAGAGTATGTATGGTACATACCCATCAGGGGAGCAGGTTACAAGCTGCATGCAAATTTCAGCTTTGTTTTCAAGAGTAGCATCCATTTGGTGGTCCTAAAAATAGCAGTAATAGTATTACAGGGGGAGATGAGGATGAGAGACAGAAATTATACTCTGCTACGTAAGTCCTTCAACATATAAAATGGGCTTCTAGAAATTAAGTTACCGTTTTTGCTTGGGTAAGGTTTGAAACTACTAACTTGTAGTTATACAGTCAAGCAATTTTACAGATGTACTTCAAAGGATCTGATACCAGCTTTGCCTGCTGA